ATACTAAAACAGATAATGTAGTATTACATGCATCAATACAATGATCAAATAATTCACCCAATGGACCTGATTGTCCAGTTCTTCTTGCATGAATTCCATCACATGCATCAAAAGTTTGATATAAAAATAATCCAAGAGCATAACTAAAATATACCCAAGATGGAGATTTTGCATTCAAATATGGATCAAAATAGAAAACTGTTAACAAGTTCATTATCATGAACATGAATCCTAAAAGAGTAACCACATTCGGTGCCATCCATAACGGAAAAATCTTAACAAACCGTTGCCAAAAAGGTTTCAAGACATATTTAGTCACAATAGAGCGATCATCACCTTGATATCTAAACAAACAAAAAAACACAGAAGAAAAAAAATAAAAAAAAAAAAAGAGTGTTAATATATTTAAACTATTTCACTTTCTTTTTTTTTAAAAAAAAAAAAACACATACTTGTAAGCTTTCAAATTTGGTAATGATTGAAGTGGAATAAAAATACCCATGATCCTTAACAACAATAATGATTCAAAACTCTCTTCTATTTCAATTGCTTATATAAATTCAATTTCAATTGGAATAAATGACATGTGCAACTTTTCTATAAACTTCCACCAAGCCAAAATATCCAGTTCGGAATTTACATGATTATCTCGAGAAATTTTTCATTTTTTTCAGTTTTTTGTTTTTTTGGTTAAAAAATTTTTTTTTCTTTTCATCGTTCAAATTATATTATATAAATTGAATAATTAATTGAATTTTCATCAATTATCGAGTGAAAAGATGTTTATGGGATGATATGATGATAGCCTATACTCTACTCTATATCATTTTGATCTTTTGATATCCTTTTTTTTTTTCTTTGTCGATTCGAGGACTCGGATTGGAATTATAAAATATGTTTAATAGAAGTTAACCATATTTTATATATACATGAGTTATCGATCGTAAGACTTCTTCGAAGATCCTTATACTGGTTTAACCAATAGTATAATGATTCAAAACGAAGCCAAGATAAATTTTTTTTCCAAATTGGCCAAATGCTTCTAGCTATTTCCTGAAAAAAAAAAATTATGGGATAGCACTTTATCATTCCAGTTTTTTTTTTAAAAAAAAATTCAATGAGAATGATAATAAAAAGGAATTGGGTACATTATTTTTTTAATCTAATCTTTTGAATTTTTTAAATTGGCTGTTAAATCTGAGTCTTGGGTTATATAAGAATTGTAGAAAAAATTTAGGTAATAAAATTGGGTCATATTTTGACCCAATTTTCTATTATGCATATATACTTAACTATTAGTATCGCATACTTCTTAAAACCATGATAACGAAAACAAAATAATCTAAAAATACTTTCTATTTTTCCCATCTTTCACCTTTTTTTTTTTTTTTGTTTTTTTTTTATTGCTTTTCTATTGTGACTCCCTTATTCCCCCTTCCCCTAAAAATATCTTATAGAGAAGATAATTAATGGATTTTTTTGCTTTTTACTTTTTGTTTTTCCAAATGCATGTTACATCTCTTACATAATTTTGAAAACATTTAAGCCTTTTAAGGAAAAAAGAAATGAAAAGATTATGCAATTTTTCAAGGTATTAAACAATAATGTTCTATTTTTTTTTAATATAATGATTACTTATACATAATAACATCTAAATATTACAATAAAGATGTCATTAAAGCCTATTGTTATAGATAATTTACAGAATCAAGATTCAAAATTTGAATTGACAGTTTTAGGATGTTCTGGAGGGCCTTTAGATGGTAGGAATTGTTCATATTTGTTGAAAAATACTACTTTAACATATAATGAGATTGTTGACAAAGATTTAAAAGATCAATTTATTTGTATTGATGCAGGCTCAGGAATATCAGCATTATCAGATTTAATCAACAATATTAAGAATAAGAAAGTTATGAGTGAAAATTATTTATTAGAATTATATACAGATTCTTTATCAGTAGATGCATATACAAATTGTCAAACTTTAATACCGTTTAATTGGTCTCTGAAAGAGAAAGAAAAAATTTCACCTTATGGATATAGTATTAATATTTTAAAATTATTGAAAAATATTTTCATAACTCATTCACATTTTGATCATTTATCAGCACTGATTATAAATTCTCCAGCTTTACATTCTAAAATTGTATATGGTTCAAATGTAACTTTATCAAATATTAAAAAAAATATATTTAATGATGCAGTTTGGCCAAATTTAATAACACAAGATGGAACTTTTTTGGAATTAAAAGAATTATTACAGGGTGAATGGTTCCCATTGAACAAGACTTATAGAATAAAATGTTTCCAAAATAATCATGGATCTTATTTGGATAATATAACGGGAGAAAGAAAAATTTATGAAAGCAGTGCATATTTAATAAATCATTTAAATTCAGGTAGAAATCTTTTATTATTTGGAGATGTAGAACCTGATAGTGAAAGTAAACAAAATAATTATCTGGGTAAAAATCATATCATATGGAATGAAATTTCCCAGTTTATAATAAATGGTAATTTAGCGGGAATAATGATTGAATGTTCTAATTTACCTATAACAAATTCCAATGAGCCATTATATGGACATATGTCTCCATTACATCTTATTTCAGAATTTTTGAATTTAAGAGATATAGTTTTGGAAAAACTTTTACAAAAAAAAGGAAATAATAATAATATTTGTAATAATAATAACAATTCATGTTTAAAAGGGTTAAATGTAATTATTACACATATAAAGGAAAGTGAAGATGGATTAGATCCTAGGAAAAGAATTTTAAAAGAGTTACAAAGACTTGATGAAATGAATAATTTAGGTTTAATATTCACAATTGCTCTACCTGGATTGACTTATGTATTATAAAAACAGCTAAAAGAAAAAAAAATAATAATTCTTTTTTTTTTTTTGCCTTTACTTTAGAACTAATACAATATATATAGATATATATATATATTAATATTAATTAATTAATTACCATACCCTCTAATACCACTGGCAAATCTCCATGACATATCTTCACATCTTAAACCTTTAATTAACTTGACATCATCTTTCTTAATTATTGCTAGACTATATTTATCTAATGATCTAGCATCACGGTAATATAGTACTTTCATACATTCACTAATTAATTTAATACCTTCTTCTTCTGTTAAATTTTTCACAGCATCATCGGAATCAAGTTTTTTCCTTAATAGAGGAATAGCTAAATGTGAACCAAATCCAGTAGCTAAAGAATCAGCACCGTAAGTTACACCTAACAAGTCAACATATTTTAAAAAAGGTTCTCCAGAATCAGCATCAAATCCTCCAACAAGACATGAATTCCATAATGGATCCATTTTTGATCTTCTATTATAAAAAACACGAGATAAATATTCATGAATATGATTAGCCTTTAATTCATAATTTTCAATATCATAACCATCTTCAATTTCTAAATCATCAAGTAATCTTTCAATTTTTTGAAAATCTGAAATATCACCAGAACAACCAACTATAGTATCTTTACCAACTTGAAGTAATCTCTCAACATTATCAAATCTTGCCAATGAACCATACGAAGCCAAATTATCTGCAGCCATTATAACTCCATCTTTAAATTTTATAGCTAAAACAGAAGAACCAGTAACAATTGGCTGTTGCGTAGCCATCTTTGGATTCCTATGTGAAGTTACAGATGAAGCATTGGCAATATTATAATTATATTCACCATAAGTTTCATTTAAAGGTCTCCCCCATGCAAATGGATCGTGATTCATTATTTTATAAATATATTTTTTCCAATCAACAATTCAAAGAAAACTATTACTTCAATTGATCTATTAATTCAATTTAAACCTTTTTACTCTTAAAAAACACCTATTTAACTTTATTATTATTACTGAACTGTGTTGTCTTATTTATTATTATACTTAGTGGCGAAAAGGTGAATTCAAATATTTTTTTAGTTTCTCCCATTTTTAGTATAGCGCTGCACGACCCAATTTATTCTCTTTCAATTAATTTATTTTTATTTTACTATAAAAATTTGAATTTAATATGAATCAGTTAATTAAATGCGATGTCACTGATCTAGGTTGAAAAAAAGATCTTTAGTGCTAAGATTCATTTCTATTATTCTTAAAAATGAAAAATGAAAAAAAAAAAAAAAAAAAAATACCAACAAGATATACATAAAATTTATTTATAAAAAAAAACAGACATTTATTTAATTATTTCCCCTTTTTCTTTCTTTTTCTCGTACCTTTAAATTTTTTGAAATCATTAACCTTCCTACAACTTATTTAACCAAAGTTTCAGCACCTCCACTAATAACATCATCAATTTCTAATTCATCAATAGTTGGATATCTAAACCTTAAAGACAATTGACTTCTTGCAGTGTAAATACTTTTTGAAGAACCAGCTGATGCTCCCGCTGATGCTCCTGTAGACGGTAATAACTTATCTGGAGCACATGGATGAGGTTGTGGTATCAGAGATGTGGATTCTGTATAAATAAAAAAATTTTTTATTATCAAATTTGTTAATAAATATTCTTAGATTAGACCCCCCATATATTTAAGAAAAATTAAAAAAAATTAAAAAAAATGTATATGTAAAATATAATATAACTTACTAATTATAGGGTGTGGACCACCAACAAACTTTATTGAAGGAACATATTTGGCTAAAACTTGAAAAGATTGTCTCATCTTAAATAAAAAGAAAAAAAAATATTCAATTCTAGTAAAATCTTAAGAGATTATTACTATTATCACCACTACAATTATGATTAATTTATAAATATATATTAATTTTAAATATTAGCAAAAATAAAAGAAATAATAATATTCAATTAGAAACCTTTCGGCTTCCGAATTCGGTTCAAGCTTTATATTATATTTGTAGTGTCAAAAATCACAAAAATAATTTTGATTTTTAGTTAAGAAAAGTAAAAAAAAAAAACAATTTAGAGATTGAAGAACGCGCGTTAATGCATGAGAAACATTTTCGACTTCGTGGCCAAGTTGGTTAAGGCGTGTGACTGTTAATCACAAGATCGCTGGTTCGACTCCAGCCGTTGTCGCTTCTTTTTTTCCTTTTTTTTGCATTTTAATTTTTGGTTGGAGAAATAAAGTAATTCAGTTGAAACCATTTCAATTGCTCTATACTTTCCAATATATCAGCCTTTGCTGTATGTTCACATTTCTTATTAGGACACTTATTGGCAATTGTTGGGTTGTGTCTTTTACAAATTTCAGTTATTGTAGAAACATCGATGATTCTATAAAAAAGATAATCCACTATTTTTGGCATTTCTCTAACCATAAATATTCTATCCATATGAACAGAATTACCTGCCAATACTCCTTTATTGGGACTAATATATTTTGAAATATACAGTAATAATTCATTTTCAACTTGTTGTAGTGTCTTGGAAGATTCAATTACTTTTTGTGTTAACCCACTAGAACCGTGATGTTCTATACACCATTCATTCATCTTATCCATTATAGATTTATCATAATGAATCACACTTTCATAACCTTCTTCATCAATGATATTTAAATCTTTATCTGTAATTATACAACATATTTCGATAATATGATCATTGAAAACGTCTAAACCAGTCATTTCACAATCAATCCATACAATTGGTTTTAAATGATCCATATTCATCTTTGGTCTCTCTGGAAGACTATCAGGTAATTGTGAATTGGGTTCAGGGATTCGTGGTAAATCTCCTGAAGTTAACTTGATTTTTTTCAATTGTTGTTTTTGTAAATCCGATGACATCTTCAAATTATTATTATGGAAATTACTTTTCTGATATGAATATGAAAATTTTTTTTGTTAAATTTTATATACCGATAAAACTGTTTTGTCAATGAATACCTAACAAATTTATCAACACTCTTTCCAAGCATCAATGCTAATAGTAAAATGAGTTTAATTACAATTAAAACTATTATCTTAGATGATTTTTTTTATTATGCAGAGAAAAATTTTTATCATACAGAAAGGGAAAAAAATCTGTGGGAAGTTTTGTTAAATTATATATAATTCAAGATCTTTGACCCCTGATCAATAACCAAAAATTTACTATTAAAGGCTTCAAATCTCTCAGATTTTAAAAACAAACTGAAAATCTGATTATCTACAATAAATACTACTCTTGAACTTATATAAACGGGGTTAACTATCTCCATACATAAAGACTCGTTTCTTCCATACTGAAAAGTATTTACAAATTATTATAAAAATTTAACCGTTTTCTTTTATTTTTTTTATTAATCTTTCAGATCTAATAAATAGCAACAGCTTGACATGGCCTTCTCTTATCGAATTAACAGTTAGTTTCTTTTCATCTTATTAATGAAGTACTAAATAGTTGGCGTCACTGACGCTAAATGAGTATGTCTCTTGACACTTGAATGGTGACACGAGATCTCTAGTTAAAAAAAAAAAAAAAAAAACGAACAAATAAAAGCAGTTGTAACCGGCATGGTATATATCATATATATCATATATATATATATATATATGTATATGCTCCAAACGGAAGTTGAAGATGTCGGAGGGATCGGAGTATAACGTGAACTTGAAGCATCCTAAACCGATAAACTATAGCGTTTCAAAGTTGTCCATTATCAATAGTAGTCAAGGTTATGATGACGATTCAAGTGAAAATAATAATGAACATTCCCCGCCATATGTGACAGGTAGTAGAGTAAACGCAAACAGTTTCAATACTACTTCAAGACAGGTTTATCTGGACCGGTTTGTGGATTTGAATTTGGTTGACCGTCAGATTAAAGTGCATTTTTTAGATAATGAAGTCATATTAGATTCAATCAATTATAAACACTCGTTTCTTTTAAAATGTCAAATTGGATTATCATTTTGTTGTTTATTAAATGTCGGTATGGCAGACCAAACTACAGGAATATTGCTACCAAGTCTAATGGACTATTACCATGTAGATAATTCAATTGTATCTTATATTTTTCTTGTTCAATTTTTGGGATTTTTACTAGCTGCTACAACTAATGATTTTTTACATAAAACTTTTGGAGTACGAGGAACCATTTTATCTGCTCAATTGGCATGTATAATATGCTTTGGGGTTTGTTCATTGAAACCGCCATTTCTGTTCTTAATTATTATTTATCTTTTGAATGGGTTTTCAACTGGTTGTCAAAATAGTACTTTTAATTCGTGGGCTGGAAAATTGAACTATAATAATCAAATTTTAGGATTATTACATGCTGCTTATGGAATTGGTTCAATTTTAACACCAGTCTTTGGAGCATTTGTATTAAAACATAGCAATGGAAATTGGAATGAATGGTATTTCATATTGGTGCTCAATGCAAGTTTATTATTCATTTCTTGTTATTTTGGTTTTAAAAATGAAAATAATATTAAACATCTTTTCTTATTACAGAATAAACCAAATCGTCAACGACAACCATTTAAAGAATCTCAAACTAATTATGAAAAATTTACATTTTTCAAAATATTACAAAATAAAACTATATGGTTTTTCAGTATTCCTTTATTTTTAATAATTGGGAATGAAGTTAGTATGGGGAATTGGCTCTATAATTACTTAATGGTTATTCATAATATTTCAACTACTGCTTCATCATTTATTACATCTTCTTTTTGGTTATGCCTTACAGTAGGTAGAGTGGTGTTGGGATTCATCATAGGTCATTTTTTTGAAAAAAAAGAAATTAAAGTGTTATATTACCTTTGTATTTCAATATCTCTATTTACTTTCCTATTTGCAATTATCCCCATAGTAACTATTAAATGTATGAATGCTTTTGTTGTGGGGTTTTTCGTCGGTCCTGTTTTTGCAACAACAGCTATAGCTGCTATGCAGGTACTCCCGTTAGAACTTCATATCTCAGGTGTTACATTCATAACAAGTATGGGTGGTTCCGGAAGCGGTGTTGTTCCGTATTTAGTAGGCTTACTTAGTTCTTTAAATGGAGAAGAAGATGCAAAAGGTTTAAAATTATTTCCATGGATTAGTTTTGTGAATTTTGCATTAGCAACATGCATTTTTACATACTTCTACCAACATTACTACCATAGAGATAAACATACGACTGATAGAGATAATGAATTAGAAATGGACGATGATATTAATTATGAAACATTATGACCTGTCAATGGCCATTGGCCATTATTTACTTGTTTCATGATCTACTTGGAGTTAATTATTTGTTTTTTTTGTTTTGTTTTTCGTTTTCAAAGTTAGAAGTTGAATGATTTTCTGTATTCAAGAAACGATTTTGTTGGTTCTTATTTAATTAAGACCCTAAATATAATATTTTATGTCACTATTATAAAAAACAGTATAAAAAGAAAAAAAAAAAAAAATGAATTGAATAAAAATTAAAATAAAAGTGATCAATCTAGAAATGAAAACTCTCTTTAAAAAATAGATACAATTTAGTTTTAAGGTTTTATCTCTTGAAGGAAAAATTTAATTTCCACTAAAGTCATAAATGAGACTCACTTTATCATAGTAGAAAAAAATCTCTTCATTTACTGTTTCTTTTTAAATTCAAATCTCAATTAAGCTAGCTACAAGTTAACATGTAAGTTCGGGATAGATTTGCATTACAACTGACTAAAAAAATGTGAAAAAAATAACTTTACGAAAGATCTAAGCTGCAGGTAGTGAATGCATATAGTCTTTCAAAGTCTTTGAAAGTATCTAAGCTTGATATTAAACTATAAGTCGCATAAACAAACAAAATAGATCAAAAAAAGCCGAATTTAGAAAAGGGAGAATAAAACCACTTGAGCTTCCAGAAAAGTTCCATCCATATCAAAAACCGGATTGTAAGTGAATGGTAGTTAAATGGTCTTTTCCCATACTATTTTTTATACATGTAAAAAATTACATCAACAGAAGAAAAAAAAACTAGCCACATTTATATTTTAAAACTTCCAAAAGAGGAAATTTTATTACTTTTGTTTTTTGTGGCTGATGAAAGACTTATCTGTGGCTGATGAAATAATTTTGCAAAATCGATTTTTCGGTCCTTTTTTGGACATTATTATGAATTCATGATGATTTCCAAGCTTTCAAAGATAAACACCATATAGGTTAAATTATTCACCTTTATCAGTGTTGAAGAGCATAGAGATCATGGGACAGAATAAGGATAATAATATTGAGGAAGAAGTCCAGTCGCTAATTAATCAATATATAATTGATATAAATAATTCCAATGAACAAATTATTATCGATTTGTCAACCTTAATTATTGATGATAAATTAACTTTATTACAGTTTGTTCAAAATATAGGTAAATTTTTAACACAGGACAATGAGTTAATGAGATCAAAGTCGGTATTGTTGATATCTTTAATTTTGGATAAGTTGCCAAGCAACAAGTTAGCAATGAAAGATTCCTTTTTTTTAATGGGGTTTTTAATTAATAGGTTATCTGATAATTTTAATGAGGCTTCTGTTGGAATTCTTTCTTTAATATTAATGAATAATTTTAAATCAACAGAAGTGATAGCAGATTTATTATCAACTTTAAAAGAAAACTATGATTCCAGACAACTTTTAGCAAAACAAAGATATGTTGCATTTGGTATATTGTTAAATTTATTTAATAAGTTTGAAAATTTTATTTTGTCAAATTTAAACAATTTATTTATTGAAACATTCATTAAAGTATCCACCTCAGAGAAAGATCCCAGAAATTTATTAATTTCTTTTGAATTAAATTATAAAATATCAACTTCATTGGATATTAACAAATATTCAGAAGAATTATTTGATAATAGTTTTTGTTATTTTCCAATATCATTTAAACCTCCACCAAATGATCCATACAAGATAACTAGTGATGAATTAAAGTCGGCATTGCGGAAAATCTTGAGTTGCAACTCGATTTTTGCTAAAGATTCAATTCCAAATTTGACTCAAAAGTTGACTTCATCTTCACCTTTGGTAAAAGCAGACGCTTTAAATAATTTAATAGCATGTATTCAAAATTATAATGTGAAAACTGTTAAAGAATATTCTATTTCTTTATGGAATGCTATAAA